ACAATACTTGCGTTCAATCTTGGAGATAAGCGGGACCATTAAGACCAAATGAGATATTTGCCCTTAAGATGTACCAGACCCTTTGGATTGAGGAACAGGCAAGCTCGTAGCTAGGCTGACTTAGGCTGGGACTCACCGTGATAAGGTCAAGCGTCTAATGTGTACTTCTAAAGTCAAACCTCGCTTTACGGACACCTGGCTTAATACGGACACCTTGTTATTACGGACAGTTTTCCTTGTCCCTGGGGATAGAAGGCCCTCACATGTTGTCTAAATTCAACCCGCCTAATTCGGACGGATACTTTCTGTGGTCCATACAGTGTCCGTATTAACGGGGTTGACTGCATTTGTTCGGTAGCCTTTCATTATTTTACTATCAATGCAAGTGACAACATTTGCAAGAATAAATCAAACAGTGGCGGGTCATGGAAGAGAGGATCCACCACAGAGCAACACTGTACCCTCTTGCGCAGACGTTCTGAAGGTGTCGTCACGCTTTTCTTTCTCACGATTGCACGTTCGTTAGGGACAATTGCATGACGAGCCAAAAGTGCGTCTGCGTGGGGGGCTACAAAGCTGTGGCCCGTCGAGGCTTATCGAGTAACGGCTGAATATTGGTCTCGGACCTTTTTTGTTTTGGTTTGTTAGTTTTTTTGCTTTCCTTTTTTCATGGAGGATGGTTAACACACGGTGGCAACTGAATCCATCGAGAATCCGACTCCAGCAGGTTTCACCTGCATTTAACAAATTGAGATGCTTCGAATAATCGCAAAAATTCTGTCGACGTCTTGTCATCTTTAATATTCCTTGTCTCCATAGACTGAAACGCTTATGTTGTTGCTGCTATTTAACACATGTAAACTTTATTTACAAACATTAAGACGCATAAAATAAACTATCAACAATAGAATGGATATAACATTCTTTTATCTTATTGGCTAAAAGCAGTCATGCTGATATTAACATTAGTTATTTGTAAATTTCACCAAATTTATTTTTAGATCAATTAAAGGCTTGAAAATGATCGTAAGTTGGTTCCTGTAGAGATTCGCAAACGTTTATTCACTTTCGTCAAGAGAGAAGATAATTCAACAGTCGCCATTACAAAATTCTGCTATCGGCAAATTCATTTCCCGTTCCTAGAACAGGTGCTCGATCATAACAGCCATAACCCTCCTGCATAGACTTTGCACCTATAAATAATATTGAGGTGTAGAACGAAATTGCTTCCACGCTGATAAGTTTACCTATATACTGTTAATTTTCTACTGATGGCGAAGCAAAATATTTAATTCCCAAATTTATATACTTGTTAGCCATAACAAGTTATCTTGCTCCCCGGGTCTTGCTCCCATTTAGCACTGCTGAGTATCGAGCCGAAATTAAGAAAAACTGTTCGTTTTTTTTGTTTTGTTTTTAATTAGTTTTTAATTTCCCAAACCAGGAGAAGTAGTTGTTATTTAATAGATTTGTGTAGTCTATTAGCTCAACCGACGTGAAATACGTATAGCAGGCCCAGTATTGATATATTTAAATATTATCTACTCGCCTTGTAACGAATATATGCTGTACGTTAACCTTTCCATGAAAGTTCCAAAAGTCAAGTTAAAAAATCATTGCATTTATAATAAATGCCATAAGAACGCAACAACAAATAAAACTATCCTGCTTACAAGGTCGTTCCAGGAAAGACATAATAAAAAATCAAAATACGCATATGGACCTTCAAGGTCCATATGATCATAATACCGACTTTCTTCTCCAAAAATTGTGAAAATTTTGCGTCTTGCGGCATGAGCTGTGGATCATGCAAGACGTCATCCGTCAAATGATGGAAAGCTCGAGTCACTGCGATCTCATTCCCAGGGTTCTCGCGGTGAAGCTAATTTTCATGAATCAAGAGTAGGAGAGCAATGTAAAGTGGCAACAACGCCTGAACAAATTCCAGCCACTCGTGCTTTCCGTCGTCAAGCCAAGGCTAAACGATTAAACATGTTCGTCCAACATCGCTTTGGAAGAGTGCGCTTTACCGTTTAACCGTTGCCTTCTCCTCAGACGCTTCGTTTTTCGCACAGAGGCGAGCGCGAAACGCGAGGGACACAAAGTGAATGACTGGTGACGAAACGCAAGGGAACATGGGAAGGACAAAAATGAGAGACGAAGTCCGTTTCCTCCTTTCCGCCTTTCTTTGCTGCCTTTGCGTATCTCCACAGAGATATGTCTGGGTAGAATTCCTTTCGACATTTGATCTAGATCAATTACATTTTCATTCAACATTTTACATCACAAACAAATGTTTGATCCTTTAGCCACCTCCTGCTGTCTTGCATGACACTGATACAATGTTTGATCATGTAGTCGGGAAAATAATAGAAAGAAGTAATTTTGATGTCACACATGATCCAAAATAGCAGCTCACAGAATTTTTTTCGTGTTAAGGAGTGACTTCGTTTCATTCAGTAAAATGAATAAAATAGTTATTAATTTCGAAGAGACTCCTTATGAAAGGAGGCAAACATCAAAGGTAAAATTAAAACAACGGTACTTTAGTTTTCCGGAATTCCCTGACGGCGCACAATCCTTTGTTTGTTTGTTTGTTTTATAAACTGTCACGGAAAATATAGGATAGGACTGAAATAAAAAGTTAATTGTGCACAGTTAAAGGGGTTATGTAACGAGGATATTGTTGTTTAATAGTTATTATAGTGGAACGGTTATGAAACCCGTTAGACTCCTTCGTTATACTTTTTTGTTAGCTTTTTTGGACCCGACAGTGCTCAACTTTCAACAGCATTTCTATCATTTTGAACTTATTGACCAATAGAAACATTGCATTAATTTATTCAGTTACAATTTGTGAACCAAAGGATTGTGCGCGGTCAAGGAGCTTCCAATATAACCTACAGCACCGTTGTTTTACATCTTTGATGTTTGCCGGCTTTCATGACCAGTCGCCTCTACTTATAACAGAGCAGTCTACCGGGCTTCATAACCATTCCACTCTATTAACTGATGCTTTTAACGCACAAAAACCTTCCAGAAGGTTTCAGTAGGTGGCAGATATGATTCACTCAGTTCATGGTCATCACATTCCCATCTGCTAAAAGTGAGCCAATGATACGCACTTTTAGTAAATGCAGGGTGATCATATAATTCACTCATGCCTTCATGCCCCCATTTACCCACGTGGTAAGTGTGGTTCTCCCTCCCCCAGTCGGCACATAGGTTTGCAAGCTTTGAATTGTCATCCCAAAGTTTAATGTACGATCCACAGGAGTCTGGCATGGTGTTTGTTTGCCCTGTAAAGTACTGAACAACAGCTTCACCAGTGCTGTTTCCGGTCGTGACTATATGAAATGTTGATCCACCTGGCTTTCTGCAGTGGAACCGCATTTGAGTGAAGGGCATGAGGGTTTTCAGGTCATTCAGGGCGCTGTTCTTTAGAACTAAATTGTTGCTTTTGTAGCTGTCCACTTTGCGGTATGACGTCTCGAGTAACAACTGAGGGAGGTCATCCTGGTCCTTAATCACGATGTTGAGAACAAGAAGCCAACCTCCTGAAATTTTTATTAAACAGTAAATAAGTATGGGGACTGGATCAAGAGGCAGGAGAGAATATCTGGACAGGAAAGGACATGGTAGGGAGAAGAGAGGAAAAAGCTACATTCCCGGTCATTATTGTTGAAACGCTTGCTAATTTTTCCTTTCCTTCCCCTTCAATGTTGATTTTGAAGACGTTTATTCCCAAGAAAACGCGTGAAACCAATATTGCGGGAAGGGGAGGGTAGTAGTACGTGTATTCCTGAAACGACTAAGTAGATATTATGTTTTCCGGAAGTGTTTTAACAAATTATGACTGGGATTGCAGTCTCCTAGTATAGGCAGCCGTTCTCTTTGAACTGTTAAACAATGCTCCTCACAGTGTTTCCCGAGAATACCGTATTTCCTCGAATAACAGTCGGAGGCGATTATTTCTTTTTTCGCATCAAAAGGGGGCGATTATTCCACATACTGCTCACTGGAAGTCGTGCCTTAAATATTTTAATTACTCCATTAAATAAAAAAATTATCACACCAAATGAACTGAACATTTTTTGATGACTTGATCAGATTCCACTTCAACTTGACAGGCAGGGGATAGAAGAAAGAGAAGATGGCGAGAGGGGTGGAGGGGTGAGGGGGGGGGGCGATTAATCGAGGGACAGAGGAAATACGGTCTCCCTCTTTCCTCTTCGTTACTGCCAAACGCCTGTCACCTTTCGTATTTCTTTGGTTTGAAAAAATATTAATAGCCGGAAATGCCATAGGGGGGTCTCCACCCGCTAACCCGTGGGGGGTGAGGGGGATGGAGACGTACGACATTTCAGACTAAAATATTTATAATAACACTTAAAACAGATGAAACTTAACGTTAAGTTAGGCAATTTTTCAATTTTTACCATCAACACCAAGTTGTACGGAATCCCTAGCAAGCCATGTCATTAGAAATTTATGTTGAGTGAATATTCTATTCTGGTTTTATGATGAATTTAATACAGCTCTATGTTATCTGGAGGTTTCGGGGTATCATAACGAGTAAGGGCAATTCCTTTCTCCGGCTGAAAATACTTTAGTCGTGTCACACTGAACAGACTTGTGGTGATGAAATTTCCTCGACTTAATAACAACGCAGTGTCGGATCTAGGGGAGGGGCCCTGGGTACCCGGCTTCCCCCCGCCCCCTTTTACTTTTAGACGAAACTAAGGCCCGATGGGCCAAAAAAAAATTTTTTTTTTTTGAGACCGGGCCCCCACCTTATCTCAGGATCTGGATGACCGGGCCCCAGGTCATCCATCTTATAGCCTGATCTGAGGGTGTAAGTCCTTTCTGTGATAACCATAGAACACCAATACTCACCACCTGCTCTGGTCATGTCACAAAAGACTTTTAAAGGATTTCCATTTTTCTCAGGGTCAATCCAGTATTCTCCGTCACCTCTTGCGTAGCCAGAGTCATAGATGTCTTTGCAGGAATCACCAGGACACGAGGAATACCAGCCTTTTCCAACTGTAGGTTGAAAAAATGCAGAATAATGCACCATATCTGCTGCTTTCTTGTACGTGAAAAATTGCAATTAGTACGATCTGACGAACTTTTCATATGACCCAATCTAATGCCTTCAGTAAGTACATGGCGAGGAGATCGACGTTTGAATCATGCAGTTGAGTCCGACATTTCTTATTTGGGTCAATCCATGAATTGAGATCGAGTGGCTCACTTGGTAATTTTGACCGTGGAGCGACTTCGTTTACGTCGAACTTATAATGTACCGAACCTAATACACAAATTGCTATAATTTATTTTCACTGGTGAGATAATTGTAAACCATTGTACATCGTGAAAATGAATTGAGTCCCACATCTTAAAAGTTTGATCTCTGAATCAACCGTCAAATTTGTATCATTTGGGTCGGGCACCAGCTGCGATTAGAGACGTTGATGTTGCCTCTTTCATTCTTCCTCATCAATTTGAAAGGGGCCGGGGTAAAGAACGCACACTGTGAGGATTCATGCCCGGGCGGTGTAGTCTATATTTCATTGATTTGTTTACTTATCCAAACATATAGAGCGATTTCGAGAAAGGTTGTCGGAAAAAATGTGCACACGACATGCACGACAATCCCGAAAGGTAATGTGGAATATTATCAATACGAGTGACTTTGTAGCTGTCGAATCTATTTTTGTTGTTTTCCTAATTAGCGCTGAGCTCCGCTGACAAACATACGTCCATGATCTTTCGTGCCATTCTTTCAAATTTCCCTGAAGAACAGTGAATTCAAAACCACCCTCAATACCTTTTGACAACCTTTCTCAAAATAGGACTTGTGGCTAATTATTTGCCTTAGTAGAATCCATTGTAGAACTTTTAATTTATGTTTATCTTTGATATGATAGGTGAACCCAGGGCTGCGAATAAGCTTATCCGGTCTGTTTTGATCACTAAGCTCACATTTGTTGTTGTCATGGTCATCATCAGAATGGCTGTTGTAAGACAGGCATTTTTCATTTCTGAGGCATCGTTGTCCGCAGATATATTCGTCAACAGCCAAGGTTTCCAATACCTGTCCAACGAGTTTAAAGCCTGAAAGTTCCAAACAGAACACATCTTATTTCCTTGGCTGTCACATGATCACTGACTGTGATAGAATAAGAAATTATTGCCCATTGAATTCCCCTTGCTTGCTGTCACCGAGGCACTTGTTGGAATCAATGATAGAAAAATAGTTCTAATAGAATAGTTATTTCGGCAAGGCAAGAATAGAAGTAATCAGTATGCATTATGTCGAAGGCAGGGAAAGAAATTACAATACACTATGCAAAAATGGGGATATAATTAATAGCGTAGAAATAGTGCCAAGACATAGACTGAAGTAATAACACCGCGAAGGTCAACGGACTTATATAGATAGAAGTAAAAATGTCTACACCGTAATTTTTAGGGAGTTATTATAACCCCAAAAATGGATTAAAAATTTTAGGTGCAGGATAACACCTTTTTGGGGGTTACTTTAACTCATAATTTAACTCCGAATTTGGGGTCATTTTTACTCCTGAAAAAGAGTTCTTATTACTCTCAGTCTGGAGTTAAAATGACTCCGAAATGGGGTAATTTTTACTCCTTACATGGGTTGTTTTTACTCCTTTTGGAGTTAATTTAACGCTGAAAGTGGAGTAAAAAGTTTAGGTACAGGATAACTCCTTTTTGGTTTTTTTTTAACTCCTCAATAACTGGAGTCACTTTTACTCCTGAAAAAGAGTTCTTTAAACTCCTTTTTGGAGTTAAAATAACTCCCAAAAAAATAACTGCACTGTAAGGAGTTAAATTAGCCCCACTACAGGAGTTATTATAACTCCTTGAAAAATACTGTGTACATATGCCAAGACATATTTCTCAAACGTTTCTCAAACGTTGGGTTTGCGCTAATCAATCATCTCTCCTTCTATCAAATAACGTTAATTCATTCCTTACCTTCGAGAGTTTTGAAAATCCTTGCTTTGCGCAGGTGAGCGTCTAAAGTATTTGCTTTGTCCAAGTTTGCGAAAAACACCAGTGTCATCAAGAGGAACAAAAATGATGCCGAAAAAGGAGTGTTTGAAATAAACAACACTAACGCCTTCTTTGTCATCTGGAAATAAAACTACAAGATGGGTCATATAAATTTCTCTATGAGCATCTGTTATGACTCTCTTCTTGCTTTGTGGAATGGCTTGCAAGGCAGAAAAAGCGGAAGAGACTGAGAGGGAGAGAGATAGTAGATGTTTAAGGAGATATTCACTAGTTTTTCTTATCCTCTTAAAAATTCATGATTATAAAACAAAAGAAGAATCGCTAACATGCTGCTTCTGAGTTGGGCAGCTGTTCCTTATCATAATGATATTTCATTAACTTTTGTTGCATCCTCTCCTACAAATATTGCATGCATGGTGGGCTGTAATATAAACACGAAGAAGAGTGTTTCAATTTGATCGCAAACAACGCCCAGGCCTGGCAAGCCTACTAAGAGGGACAGGAGGCTTTGGGACAAAAACGGTTTTAGGCTCTTCCTTTCGCTCCCTGTCTCTTCTTAATCCTCGTCCTTTGCCCGTGGTTTGTCCTTTCCTTTCTTTTCCCTTCTCTAGACTATTAACTGACAGATTGCAGACCACGCGCGTTCCTACTGAGTGGCACTATCTAAAGCTTGATTAGTTCTCATGACAAACAAAAAGGTTCCAGAAATTTAAACCTAATTTCAAAGTTACTGGGAACACTATACAAACCTTTGTCCATGGTAGCAATTATTAATGAGTTTACAAAAGCAGGTCATTGACCTTAAGAAAAAGCGTACAGTTAACGCTGATGTTGATGTTTTCTTTACTGAAAAGTACAATTATATTGTTATTGTTTGACATTCATTAGTATTACCTTTCGAGCTCGAGAAAAAAAACAAAGGTTATAGGCAAATAGGGGAAACCCATCCCTGATAATGACCGATTGTCTTAAATATTTCATTTCCAACCAAGAACCTCTCTTGAGAACCTGGCAACGGAATTGTCCAGAAGTTTTTTATTTTGAGAATTTTTACAGCAAAGCAGAAGGTAAATTCATTGTTTTTCTCGATTAGTCATGGTCTAGGGTTTTCCACAAGTTGCTCGGCAACTTTTTGGCAAGTTCTCGTACAGTTTCGAGCAACTTTTTCCGAATTCGTTTCAGCCAACTTTTTGCATTCTGAGTAATTTCTCTAGTTATCTTCTAATTCTGAGATATCGGGGCAGCTTTTAGTGCTTAAATTGGCCTTTCTTCCATATTTCACAATGTTTTAGTAGACAATTTATGAATTTCCTGTAAAAAAAAGGAGCCAAATCCTTCCCCCTGGGGCAGATCATGGGCACAACAACAATAAAAACATTTAATTATTTAAACACGATAAAAATTACAGGGGAGCAGATGAGGTCGTGTATTTAAAAATTAAACACAGTTCACAAATGAATAAAAAACTTGAAAACTAATTAAAATTTAGAAAAAGATCTAACCTATTTGAAAATATGTATCTATAAACTAAGCTATTCGCATGAAGTTCTGCGTTTGAGAGAGTTTTTAAATAAGCTTTTGCTTGAGATTGCCGGCATGTAATTGTCAAGAGAATTCCATAGAGATACGGCTTTGTAACAAATGGACTTGCGAAGAACTTCAGTGCTTGGTTTTGGTAACAAATAGGTTAATTTCCTTCGCAAGCTATAGTTACCGCCAAATATAAGCCCTTGGGGGCTAATGCTTGGGAAGTGCCCTCAAATTCAAAATAAATCAAAGCAAAAACTGTACAGTAACACATAAATTTTTGCATTTGCCAAAGAACTATTACGTGTGTCAAATAATTGTACTAAAAAAGTGTCACGGTATGTTGCTGTTTGGGCGCGTTGTTCTCTCTTGACTCTCCTGGCTTGGATTTCCTCGTTCCATAGAGATAAAGTGCTTGCATGGCTGAGTTTTAGTAAGATCTACGTCCTCAAGGCGAGTTTCAGTAAAAACTTTCTGCAAATTACTGACATAAATTTCCTTCCAACTTAAAAAGTTAGCCCCTTTAATTTCGAGACTTAAATTTCCCTCCCAGTATAAGCGTAGCCGATTTTGAAACGCAATTTTCCTTCCGTATATAAGCCCCTCTAAAAATAAATCCCTCAGAAATGGCCTTCGAAAAATATAAGCCTCGGGGCTTTTTTTCGGAATTTTACGGTAAGTTAACTTTCGCCCCGTTTTTGCTTTCAGAATGAACGTCTTTAAGTGATTGCTAAAGTAGATAAGATACAAAGATTAAGAGCCTACACACTGTAGCCACTGTAAATCTCATCACAAAACCATTTTCTGGTATAAATGGAACACAGATTAACGATATTGTTCAGGTCTGCTCTTAACAAGTCATTATGCACGGCTTTACAAGACCCATGCATTGTAGTACGGAAAAGTAAACTTGATAGCATCGACTGAAACCTGCTTTGTAAGCCCGCGACAATGAGCATTCCCATCAAACCCATGTTTTCAGGTAAGATTTGGTCGCCAAATTTGTTTTAGGTCGATGCTATCCACTACATGGGCAGCCTTTTGAATTCGCTGTAACTATTGGATGCTTCCATCCCAAGCCATGGATCACCGTTGTCCTCCATCAAACTTAGAAGGAAGTCGTTTTTTTTGGCTGATTTGATAACTGAAAGGGTGACTCCTAATTGCTTGCATTCTTCTTGGCCCTGCATGACTCATCGCCATCTTACCTTTGTCGACGTAAAAGTAGCAAAGAGATTCAAATTCTTTCCAGCCCTCTGGACAACCTGAGCCGAGATACAAATGAGCGTTTAACTACTACGTAAAATTCCAAAATCAAGCAGCCCTAAGGGATCACTATTTCCACAATAATTCCATCGAACATTACGGGAAATTGTGCTGGAAAAACGGGATCGCTGGCTCATTGTTCTTCTAGTTTTCGCATCTCTTTAACAATTGTTCCACGAGTGGATATGAGTTGGCTGGATAGATGATATGAGTATGGATATGAGGCTGTCTGGATATGAGTTTCCTGGATATGAGATGGCTGTAATCATCTCATATCCAACAAGCGCGAGTAGTTTTTATCCCCCAAATGGAGTGTTTGCTCGCAGGCTAAACAACGGTCGATCTTTCAATGCTGGTTTAGTGATGACCTTCAAGAAAACCATAAATTGACCCGTAAAATAATCCTTATTAAGGTGGCTCGATACAGTTTTTCAAGGCCCATACCTCCCAAGTTTGAGGATAATCTACGTCGCCATAAACAAAGTTTTGGAAAAATTGCCACCACAGTTGTATTAGATAAAGATGAAAATTTGTTATGATCAGGGTTGTAATGACATCGGAGTTGTCATAGCAACGAAATGACGCTATTACCTATTTTACTTACAGAAGTATTTCTCGACACTGGGAACTGTTCTTCCAAAATCATTCACGGGAGCTTTTTCCTCCAATAGCCGCCTCGATGTTAGTGAAGTTTAAGCGAAATCTGTAAGAGCGTTATCGAGATATTTTAGGATAAAGATTTTGTGGTTAGAAATACGGTAAAAAATGGATAATCTTGATATTTCGCTGTTATCTGTAGAAAATGAAGCGCTTTTGACATGCAATTTCACCTCATAGTAGTTTCAATCTTTTTTAAAACGTGTGTGAAAGACCGTGGAGATAGCTCCAGATGATTGCTAGAAAGAAGGATTTGATTAGTATGTATCGAGTCGCTTTTGTTAGCGGTTTTTGAACATTTTGGTCTACTTTAACAAATTAGCGAATAAGTCTTAAATTGCTCGATAGATTTTTTTTAAAATTTAAGATTCTTGAGATTAACCTTCCTTTTATATGACCTTTTAGTTTTAAGATTATTGATATATTGTAAGGCAGTAAAATAAGGGCTACAATTCGCCAATATTTTGGCAGAAATTTTGTGTTTACAAATGTGAGCCTCTCATTATTCAGGGTATTGTCCCCAAGTTTCATATTTTCGCGCATAACAATAGCTAGCATTTTTGCATATGTCAAATGTATTGTTAGTTATTGTTGTTCACGTGAAAATGAAACTTGGAGACAATGCCTTGAATAATGAGAGGCTTTCCCCTGTAATAATGAAACGTCCGATAAAAAAGTAACGAATTGTAGCCCTTATTTTACTGCCTTACAATGTATCAATAATCTTGAAACTAAAAGGTCATATAAAAGAAAGGTTAATCTCAAGAATATTAAATTAAAAAAAAAAATCTATCGAGCGGTTTAAAAACTATTCGCTAATTTGTTAAAGAAGACCAAAATGTTTACAAAACTGCTAACCAGAGTGCTTCTATACATGTTAATAAAACCCTTCTTTCTGGCAATCGGCTCCATGATCTTTCACACACGTTTTTAAAAAGATTGAAACTACTACGAGGCGAAATTGCATCTAAAAAGCGCTTCATTTTCTACAGATAACGGCCAAACAACAATATTGTCCATTTTTTACTGTGTTTCTAACCACAAAAACTTCATCCCAAAATATCTCAATAACGCTCTTACAGATTACGCTTAAACTTCACGAACATCGAGGCCGCTATTGGAGGAAAAAGCTTCCGTGAACGATTTTGGAAGAACAGTTCCCAGTGCCGAGGTATACTGCTGCAAGTAGAATAGGTAATAGCGTCATTTCGTTGCTATGACAACTCCGATGCCGTTGCAACCCTGATCACAACAAATTTTCATCTTTATCTAATACAACTGGGGTGGCAATATTTACAAAACTTTGTTTATGGCGACGTAGTTTATGCTCAAACTTGGGAGGTATTGGCCCTGAAAAACTGTATCGAGCCACCTTAAGCTGATTTGAAACACCACTGAGACTGAATCGCTTCCCTGCGAATTTTTGTCTCCCTTTTATAATGTAAAATTCGTTAGTTTGAGTTTTCCAGTCCATTTCGTTTCACTAGTTCCATGCAGAACCACTGAGAGCGACCGTTTGCTTTTCCATCGAGCTTGACATGAGGGTGTGAATGGGGTTAACCGACTAGCGACAAAGGGCGAAAAATATTGCTGACTACCGACAAAATGAGTAAAAAATTAGCGACTACCGACAGGAAAAACACTAACTGACTACCGACATGGGCTGAT